CCGTAGCCGGAGATACGACGTTTTCTTAAGTTTCAGCGGAGAAGATGTTCGCAAATCGTTCCTTAGCCATCTTCTCAAGGAGCTCGATCGCAGATTGATCAATACATTCAAAGACCACGGGATCGAGAGAAGCCGTCCGATTGCAACTGAGCTTTTATCGGCGATTAGAGAATCGAGGATCTCGATCGTCGTATTCTCTAAGAACTATGCTTCTTCCACTTGGTGCTTAAACGAATTGGTGGAAATTCACAAGTGCTACAAGGAGTTGGGTCAGATGGTGATTCCGATTTTCTACGGCGATGTTGATCCATCTCATGTCAGAAAACAGACCGGAGACATTGGCAAGGTCTTTGAAGAGACTTGCAAGGGCAAAACAGAGGATGAGAAACAATGGTGGATCCGAGCTCTCGCAGAGGTAGCAAATATCGCTGGAGAGGATTCTCGGAATTGGTACCTTGTAGTTTTTGATTCCCTTATTTGTGGTTTTTGTTGCATAGACTCCAAATTATGTGCTTTAAGGGATATATCTTTTGTTATGGTTAGGCGTGATGAAGCAAACATGATTGAGAAAATAGCCGACGATGTTTCGAATAAGCTTATTACTCCATCAGATGATTTTGGTGATTTCGTGGGGATTGAAGCTCATCTAGAGAGATTAGACTCATTGTTGTGTTTGGAGTCTGAGGAAGTGAGAATGGTTGGGATTGTGGGGCCTTCAGGGATAGGTAAGAGTACCATAGGTAGAGCTCTTTTCAGTAGACTCTCTACCCAATTCCACCATCGGGCTTTCGGAATTTATAAAAGAACTAATCTGGACGACTATGGCATGAAGTTGTGTTGGGAAGAACAGTTTCTAGGAGAACTGCTATGTCAAAAGGACATAAGGATTTGCCATTTAGGCGTGGTGGAACAAAGGCTAAAGCACAAGAAAGTTCTTATTGTTCTTGATGATGTCGATGATCTAGAGCTACTTAAGACTTTGGTGGGAAAAGCTGACTGGTTTGGATTTGGGAGCAGAATTATTGTGATTAGCAAAGATAGACAACTTCTCAAGTGTCATAAGATTGACCTTATTTATGAGGTGGAGTTCCCATCTGAAGACTTGGCTCTTCAAATATTATGTCGATCTGCTTTTGGGCAAAACTCTCCACCTTATGGTTTCATCAACGTCGCATTTGAAGTCGCAAGCCTTGCCGGTAATCTTCCTTTGGCTCTCAACGTCTTGGGTTCTTCTTTAAAAGGAAAGGCCGAGGAGGAGTGGATGGAGATGCTTCCTAGGCTCCGAAATGGACTTGATGGGAAAATTGAGAAAACATTAAGAGTCAGCTACGATGAGTTAGATTGCAAAATTCAAGAAGTATTCCTCTATATCGCTTGTTTATTCAATGGTGAGAAAGTCGATGACATCAAAAACTTTCTCGGAAATTGTGTTAATATCGATCTTAGAATCCTGGCTGATAAGTCCCTCATAAGTATAACACCATCACTGAGTACTGTGGAGATGCACGGTTCAGCTGTTGGTGGACGCTGAAGATATTTACGATTTATTTACCGACAGTACTGTAAGTTTCTTGCATGTACATTTAATAATACTTTAAGCATGTCACTTGGTATTTGATGTTGTGATTGCTAAAATAATAATTTTCTTGGGATTTTTTTTCTTCAGGGTACAGAAACTGTGCTTGGGATATATCTTAATACATTAGAAATCAACAAGCCATTGTTCATAGATGAAAAATCATTTGAAGGGATGCGTAATCTCCAATTTTTAAAAATTTACAAGAATATGTCGCGGAAGGAGGTGACTGGTGAAGGGAGAGTGTTTTTACCTCAAGGTCTTGTTTATTTGCCCCGTAAACTCAAATTGCTCTATTGGGAGAACTTTAGAGGGGAGTATCTGGTTGAACTCACAATGGAGGGTAGTGAGCTTGAAAAGCTGTGGAAGGATCTCAGGTATACTTTAAAGTTGTATATTTCTTTAAAGTTGTATATTTCTTAGTCTACAATGGTGTTACTAATTAGTGTGTTATGTTTTCTCCTCTTTTGTTTTCAGCAACTTCATAATCTCAAGAAGATGAATTTGTATGGGTCCAAAGATTTGAAAGAAATTCC